AACCCTGCTCCTTATTCAAAAGTCTCTGGGCTTAAAGCATGATTTAGAACAATAATAACCTTGGAGCAGGGTGAAAATCCCTATGGTTTTCTTCATTAAAAACAATGTGAGTCTGCTATTTAAAGATGCATGGACAGCAATACCTGAAGAAGCTTCTAGCTTCTCACAAAACTCAATTGCTCTCAGAATGCTGGAATTGGGGAAGGTAATAGCGATGCAGCATGTATCGCTTTCTCCTTTTGTGCTAGAAGGAAACCGAGTGTTAAACCTAATGTCACCTGAAGTAAAAATAGCCACCGTCTTCCATATCCTGACTCGCATGCTTGCCCCTGAATGAAACCATGTGATGCTGCTCTCTATCCCTTCAATTCCTCTATTACTCTCTCTCCACATTTTTTTTTCTCTACACAAGATAAACAATTCTAAGAATCCACTTTGCAGGCCTTTTCCACCATCCAGCCTAGAAATATCCCAGGCTTGCATGGAGATCATCTCATATTAAAAGTGACATTTTTTTTCTTTTCATTTTTTTACTCAGATTCACATGTTTGGTTAATCGGTTTCTTCCAGTTCCCCTGGGGGAGAGAAGAGATTGTGTTCTTTAATCATGCTACTTTTCCTCAGCGATTTGACCATCCGTGTTTGGGAGAACTCCCTATGGGGTTCTTTTCTGTCATAACCTTGCTTTTTCTCTCACTGTGGTGATGTTTTCTTTCCCTGGTTGTTGATCTGATGTGATATACATAGTTCTGGTGTTTTGCACTCGAAAGTTTAAGGGTCTGTTGAAACTTCTGAATGAAGAAAGGAGACCTTCAGTTGATTAATCTTCACTTTTATGGCTGTGCTACTGCCATATTTACATTAGTATACTATTTTGCAGTGCTCACAAAATGCATAATTGTGAGCTGTAACTGACAGTTATGTAAAATGAACCGAGAGCATTAATGGAACGAACAGTTTGTGTTTCTTGAATATTGCAGTAGAAGTGCTGCTTGAGACTCTCTGCTGATTGGACCTTCACGTCATGTGACCCCTTACATCAGCAAAAATTCGGCTGCCCTCAACAGAACTGGTGAATCCATCAAAGTTTTGCCCTTGTGAGCAAAATAGAACATAGTTTTATGATCATTAATTATGAAAGACTAGGGGTAAGCAATGAAGATGCTTTCATAAGGATATTTACCAGAAAATCAATGCAGTGGGGTTCGAGGGCAGGGGGATCCAAGACATTTCCGAGACATTTGTTTGGGTGAAAGTTACGTAGTGCACAAAGACTAGCACTAAAATACACAGCAGTTATGTAACCAAAGGAGACAGACGGCTTTTAGACCACAGTGTTTCATACCTCACTGGGCTGAAGACATTTTTTGGTAACACTCTCTTTTTCTCGATGTCACATAGTGCTTCTTGTTGTAATATTTGGTTATGACTTTCATAACTCATCCTTTGAAAGAGAAAAAAGCAATCCACACAGTACTATTAGAGTCCTTGAACAACACACACACAGAGCCGCACCAACAAATTCATGTTCTCAGAAGTGCAGATGGTAGGAAAAGGGATACAAATGGTATATTATTTGGTATTAATTTATATATTGACTAGATAGAGAAAGTGAAAGAGAATGGTGCAAGGATAACATCCAAACTAAGAAGGCAAGATCACTTCTGGTTTCTTTTAAATTTTCCTAAAGGGTTTTAGGGCGTTTCAATTTGAGTTTTGTTCTAAACCTTTAGGACTTTTTTTGTGAATAGTACACATTAATATTTTAAAAACATATAAATATATCCAATCTGCCATCATTATTATTATTCATATATTTTCCTACGGCTTAGTCCCTTTATTCATCTTTGGTCACCACAGCGGAATGAACTGCCAACTTGTCCAGTTTATGTTTTACACAGCAGATGCCCTTCCATGTGCAAGCCAGTACTGGGAAACACCCATACACACATTCACACTTAACTATAGCCAATTTAGTTTATTCAATCCACCTATAGCATGACTTTGGACATGGTCAAGACGATGTGCTGCAGTTTAAGCCGAGCATCAGAATGAGGAAGAAAGGTGATTTAAGAACTTTGAATATGGCATGGTTGTTGGTGGCAGACAGACTGGTCTGAGTATTTTCAGAAACTGCTTATCTACTGGGATTTTCATGCACAGCTATCTCTAGGGTTTGCAGAGAATGGTCTGAAAAAAAATCCAGTGAGCGGCAGTTCTGTGGGCACAAATGCATTGTTGATGCCAGAGGTCAGAGGAGAATGGGCAGACTGGTTCAATGCTGATAGAAAGGCAACAGTAACTTAAATAACCACTCGTGACTAAATGGATCGAGCTTCTGCCATCTAATTGGTTGATTAGACATTTGCTTCAACGAGATGTTGAACAGGTGCACCAAATAAAGTCTATAAGAGTAAATACAAAGGAGTGATGTAGATATCATTTGTAAAAGCATTGTTTTGTCAAATTTTGTGTTCGCAAAACTGTTCTGAATGATTTAAGCACAAAGAATTGATTTAGGGTAAAAGTAATTTTGTTTTATTATTGTCATGAATTTTTTATATATAAAAGTCCACATTTATTGCATCTGCATTTAAACACCATAATAAATAACTTCTATTTCTGTGTGTTGTACAGTAGAACGTCAGTCAGTCACAGGGTTTAGAATGACAGTAGAGCGAATAAAGGACAGAACTTTCATATCTATTCTACTATTTCTTTCATCATGTGGAGGCCATCCTTGTGAAGGTCAGCTTTGATCATGTGCATTATACCAGAGCTTCACAACTGCAGTCCTTCACTTAAGTCATCATTACTCTCTAGAAACAAAAGCAGAAACGTTGTACTCCTCAAGAAAACTTCACGCTGACTTCGCCTTCGATCTCTCTGTAACAACACTGCAAACAAGATCAATGAAGCTTAGTCGATCTTCTCTCTCTCCCTTTCTCTGTGTTTCTGCTTCAGTTTCCAGGGATGAGCTATATTTTAGTATACAGAAAGATTGTAGAGGGGGAGCTTCTTTTAATATTTAATGAAGGGTGGTCCAAAGGGGGCCATGGGTTGCATATATTTAGTATTGTACCATACAGTATACTAATTAGTGCATATGTGTGTGCTTACTGTACACTACCTAACAAGTCTTGTCACCTATTTAAGTTTTAGGAACAACAAATAATGACTTCTAGTTGATCATTTGGTATCAGAAGTGGCTTATATGAAAGGCAAATGCCTCTAGATTACCTAAATAAAATATGATTATGCCTTGATTTTTATTTTATTTAATAAGACAGTAAGGACTGACTTTGCTTAGACAAAAGTCTTGTCACTTAACAGAAATAATGAACAGTATAAAACAGGGGTGGAAAACCGTGTTCCTGGAGAGCCACCTTCCTACAGATTTCAGTTGCTACCCATATCAAACCCACCTTAACCAATTAATTAGTACCTGAACACCATGTGATAATTACAGGCAGGTGTGTTTGATATGGGTTGCAACTGAAATCTGCAGGAAGGTGGCTCTCCAGAAACAGGGTTGGCCACCCCTGGTATAGAATATAAAGTCATCACCTCAGACTGTTAATGTTGCCATCCACTCTGCTAATCTCTCGCATCCCCCCATACTGAATCTAACCCCAAACCATAATTTTCCCTTCACCAAACTTGACTGATTTCTGTAAGAATCTTGGGTCCATGCAATTTCTAATATGTCTGCTGCAGTATCTGTGTTGATTGGAATGCAGTTCAACAGATTATTTCTTTAGAAAAATCTACCTTCTGCCACTTTTCCAAATGATCAACTAGAAGTCAAGTTATTATTTGTTGCTCTTACAACTGGGATCGACGACAAGACTTTTGTCAGGTAGTGTACATGCTTGACTCAAGCATGACATAAAAAAGGTGTGTGACCTATAATAAGGTTTTGTAAACAGTAATTCTATTTTTATGATTTAAACAGAACACGGTATTTTAATATAGGTACGCAACTGCATTAATTGCTTGGTTTGTGTAGAGATTGCTGAAGCTTTGACTTGAGCTGAGAGTGCTGTCGGTAAAAATCATTTATTTAAAGCCCTGTGTTTGCTTTATTCTAGCATTCACACAGACTTTGACCTTCTTTCTTGTCTCTCATATTTTTTACAGGTATAGGTGAATGAAGGCTAACTTATACTGAAAAAGGTGACAGAAGATCAAACAACTAATAACACCCCAAACCTCAAGTGGTACGCCTTTAAAAGTTTGCATGTACTTTAATGTGATAGGATGAATAGTAATTACAAGACTTATGAACTTAGGTCTAATTACGGAAAGGAAAGAAAAGGCTTAAACTTTTAAACCTGCTCCGCTTGACCGTGAGAGGAAGGCCTTGAGGAAATCAAAAATAAATGAGAGGTTAGAAAGAGTATCTTGAATTTATTTATTTCATAAATCCCATTTTAAAAGGTTCCGACAAAGATAAATACGGTAAACTATTTGTAGTTAGTGTAATGCTTTAGTTGGGGAAAGAGGAGCTTTAGGGAGGAGAATGTTTTTAAATACAAGATAATTACATAGTCCTATGTGCTAAACATTGTTGTGATCTTTTACGTGAAAATACTGTCAACTAATGTTTTGACATTTGTTGCGTCTCAGTTTATCAGTTGGTGCACTGGAACCTATATTAGTCAATACTGCCATCTGGTGGTTGTGCTATATAGTCTTTCTTTACTGTATTTCACGATCGAAGTCACTAATAGAGTTTAATTTAAATTTTAGTGCTGAATACCTTGTACTGAAAATAGTATGTCACATGTCAGGAAAATAAGAAGAGAAAAACAAGTAAAATAAAATTTATTCGCAAAAAAATACCTTGTATCGCTAAATGATTTATGTATCTTTTAAGTTTGATACATGTCACTACAAATATAGTCTACATAATAGTTATGTTTATGGGAACTTAAACAGTCTGTTTCCTGTGTGAAAAAAAACTACCACGCTCACACACTCCTTTTTTCCAGAAACAAAAGTGAAAATAAGCATAGAGCGTGATTATGTAGCACAGACTCGCAAGTCATTTCCTCATTAAGCAGAACTTCACGATGGACGAATATTATCCCATAATTGTAGAGGGGGACTGGGGGCCCGAACACACCAAAAGTTTGAAAAATAAACTTCAGATTCACTTTCAGAGTAAGAAGAAATCTCAGGGAGGAGACTGCGTAGTGAAATACGACGAGAGGAAGTCTGCGACGATTCTGTTCAAAACATCTGACAGTAAGTGAGAACACAAATGATACGCTGTAGGCTATGCGTATATTATTTTCAAATGCAGTCAAACTGTGCTGTTGACATGTTACCATGCATGCTAGCCTACTGTTTGCCAAAACTAGCCTGACGAATATTAATAAACCGATGTTTTTTGCTCAAACAACATAGTGTAGCCTACTTAACAAACCACAACAACCACAATTTAACCATGTTTTTGCCACACTAACCGTAGCATTTGTAGTAAAAACCATGGTAATAAAATTTGCCATAAAGAAAAGTAAGGAGGAAAAGCGCTTTACCCCCTTACTTTTCTTTATGGCAAATTTTATTACCATAAAACCATGGTTAATTTCACTATATCACACCCATCAATTTAAACCAATTCAAACCAATGGGAGGCCAATATGCTGCTAAATGAACGAATAGTAATAAATATAAGTATAATAATGAATAAATTTAATAAAATAAACCATAAATCTTTTTAAGTAGGGTGGGGAAAATGTGTTTTGATACATGTCTAATTTGGATTGTTTGTGTTCAAGTTCGAGATGCTGTGCTCTCTCAGGCAGAACATGTTATCACCATTGACACACAACAAATCAAGCTAAAAGTATATAAACCCAGCAATGTAAAGGAAAATAAAGACAGCACTGAACAACAAGTGAGTATAATTTGTCGTGTCAACCATTTATGAATAGCAAAAACTTCCAGAATTGTTCAAAAGTTAGTTGTCTTTGTTGAAATATTATTGGAAGAGGGTGGAGAGGAGAGAAGAAAAATCTCACTCTACTTGTTTGACATTTTTGTGGTTTCAGACAGACCAGGCATGTGCAAATCAAAAACCAAGTAAGTAAATCATCTGAACTTTGGACTCAGACAGCTTGCATGCATGTGATCTTTTATTGGTTAGGTTATCTTGTTATTGTGGATGCTACTGAAAAGTGGATCCTTTTTCAGAGTCAAAACAGTTAGGTATTTACTCATTTCATACAAAAAAATAAATAAAAAAATTCCTGGCTAAAGATGCATGTATAAAGCTGTCTATATATTTTCATTTACACGAGAAAAACATGTGACGCCACTGATATTATATATAATATAATATACAATATATGATGATCGCTGATATACCAAATTGGTTAATTGTACAGAAGGACTTTACTTTCTAACGTGTGCTACTTTTTAATTTTGCCTGAAGAACAAAGTGCCTCTGAGGCTGAGTTGGACGTGAAGAAGCCTGAGTTGTCAAATGCTGTGGTCCTGGAGAACATTGCAGATCATATGAATCAAGATGTCTTGGCTCTTTTGGTGGAGAACATCAGCGGCCTTTCTGAGAATGACTTTAGCATGGAATTAATACCAGACTTACAAGCTGCAGTTGTGACCTTTAAAAATCCCAGTGGTATGTTGTTCTGCTTATATAAAATCATATTCACATTCATCATTAATATAAGAACATAGTATAGTATTTTAGATACAAGTTTTGTTTTGTGAATGTTAGTAATGCTGTTATCTAAATTAACAAACAATGAACAATACATTTATTACAATGTACTGATTCATCTTTATTAATGTTAGTTGATGAAAATACAGTCTTTGTCCAAGTTAACTCATATGTTTATGTTAGTAAATACATTGCCTTAACAAATGGAACCTTATTGTAAAGTGTGACTCAACATATTGTATTTTCACACAATAACAATGATTATAATAATAATCATTATTATTGTTGAAAGGTGTCCTGAAATTTAAAACAGACCAAGAAAATTCCCTAATTTGGCCAAATCTCAATAGTTCATTGTGCTCTTTTTAGACTAGGGAAGGAGTTCTTAGATCTAACACTCAGAAATGTATAGCAACGAAGTAGAACTACTGTACTTCACTACTGTACTTAAGTACTGAAAGGCTGTATCTGTACTCTACTGGAGTACTGTTTTTTTCTCCTATTTCCACTTTTACTTTAGTACTTATTTTCGAAGAGTTTAATACTTTTACTCCGATAGATTTTTTATGTGCTGCATCATTACTCTGTACTAGGGGTGTCAAAAATCTTGATATCAGTTCAGTATTAGATCATAACTGGTTATTACAGACTGACGTCATTTATCTCCTATGCGCGATGTCGCAGCTCACTTCATTTTGGCATATTATTTTTTAAAACAAGTCAATATGTTTTACTTGTCTAGAAAATGTTTCATGATTTAAGAGTTTTTAGATATTTGGACTAGAAACCACACTCTTAAAAGAAACGGTTCTATATAGAACCAAAAATGGTTCTATCAAGCGCTTCATATATGGAACCCCAAAAAGGTTCTAAACAGAAACATTTTAAGGGTTCATTAAATAGAACCCCAAATGGTTCTTTGAATTCAAGTTACATGGTTCTATTTAGAACCATTTGAGGGTTCTTTATTTATTATTGAATTAATGTTATTTATTATTGAATAAAAAATAAAACCAATGCAGAAAATTCAAATTGTTTAAATTTATTCAATTTACTTCACAAAATAAGTTTTAAATAATATTTCAAATTGCACCTCTGTGTACTTTGTATAAGATCTACCTCTAAACATTTTACATTTTATTATTTATTTGTTAAACATAATTAACAGCTTAATGGCATTCAACAATCTTATTCTAATGATTTCACTTTTTAATAAACATTTGTAAGCTTGTTTACTGATTGAACAAATACAAAACTAAACTTTCAAACATCTCTAAAATGAAGAAAAATGTATTACAATGCAGATTGAAACAATACACAAACATCTATTAAATAACACTACAATTTCTACAAGTTGATGGTACATGTATGTATTGGTCATGGCAACATCCATGTTTATACATAAAAATAAAAAGAATAAAAAGCAGAGCAAATTCAACTTAACACAGATTTCTGAACCGAAGAGTGATGACCGAGGTCATCACAAGCACAGTGTTTATCCATATTAACCTATTAACGCTAAAGTTACCCCCATTCAGTCTGTATCACTATATAACACACGGGATTTTCTATCAAATATAAACATTACTTCATAATACAAAATATTTCACTATTATATATATATATATATATATATATATATATATACATATATATATATATATATATTTTTTTTAAATGTACTAACATACCTGAATGATGAAGCTGAAATAGTGGACTTTTCCTTTCGAAAAATGAACCGTCACTCTCGAGGCTCTTCACCACCAGTCCATGACGATGTCCTTGTCAATGACGTCACCAGAGGGCTTTTTTTATGATTATTAGTTTAAAATAAATCATTAAACCATAACAATATGTTACTGCACAGTCTAAATTAATTGGTTATTTTATTTATTTCACAAAATTATTTGTCAAAAATGTTAAACATTGAGTATATATAAACTAGGCCTTTAAGTTATATGCTAATGTACAAACCTGCATGAAAAAAATCCCATCATACTGTACACTGATTAGGTTTTTGACCACAGCATTCATTTTATTAGGTTTTGACTCAAAAAGCTTTGTATCTCTGTTATAGCTTATAATCATTTTATAATCTTTACTACATAATTATGTTATGATTCAAAAATTATAGAACCATTTTAATCAAAAAGGTGCTTTGCACTCAAAGGGTTCTAAATGGAACCATTTTTTGGGTAAAAGGTACTACTGGCCAAGTATAGAACCTCAAGGAGTGCAGACAAAACATCTAAGTAAGAAAATAATTTTTTTGCAGTGTAGAATATTTATCTGAGAGGGTATCCAGTTACTTAATGAATTGTTCTTTAGAATGGTTATTTAAGACACAAACCAGTTATTAAATTTAAATCATTGAATGCTGTTTGGAGTCTCTAGTAAGCACTGATCCTGTATTTACCCAAACTAACTCACTTTGGACATGTCTGAAAGTAAGTTTTACATGAGCAAATATTTCAGATTTACTTCAAAGCTTTAAATACAGTTTTGCAATCTCTTTATTCAAAACACAGGTAGTTATTCTGGTGATACAGATCTTACATTTTCAGTCACCACCAGCTCAGTCACTATTTCAGGGCCCCATCATACACCCGGCGCAGTGTGGCGCAAGGCGTGGCGCAATACTTGTTTGGTAGTTTCAGCTTGGCGCAAGAGTCGTTTGAGGCATTACGCTACGCTGTTTAAATAGCAAATGCATTAGCGCTCATATGTGCGTCCATAGGCATTCTGGTCTAAAAAGGAAGGCGTTCTGAGGTGCACGGCTGGCGCGTTGCTATTTTCAGAAACTAAAATAGATTTTTCATTAGACCAAAACAAACCCGGTCTAAACTCCGGCGCAGAGTTGCGCCTCGCTTACACTCTGCTTAATACGCACAAGAGAGCAATAGGCAAATATCTTTACATATGAAAAAAAATTAATATTAGGGATATATATATATGATATAATTAGAATATATACAGGATATAAATATAAAGGATTAAAATATTACAAAACATATTATTTTCTAGCCTACATAAATATGAAAAATCACTGCTTTTATGACTTCTTCATCTGGGGAGGCTTTTTCAGTTCATTTATAACAATTTGCTTTTGTACAATGTTATTATTATTAGCAGTATTATGTATTATATCCATATTTATATTTGTTTTATTAAAAACAAGCTTAGATTTGCCCACCTGTCAGGCTTTAGACCATATGGGGCACAGCATGTGTTTTAGGATATAATTCAGGTTTTTGAGCACACTTGGTTATAATTGTTCATTTATTAATTTGCTGGAAATTATAACTGAATTTAGAAATAGTTTTGAAACGAATATTTGCGCTTAACAAATGCAATTAATTATTTATAGACTAATTGATGTCTCTGCGTAAAGGTTTCCCTATCCAAGAGCGAAAGTGAAAGTGATCCAATATCTCTCATTCTCACGCAGTAGATGCTCTGTTTAACAGTTTTCTGTTAAAAAAAAATGTTAACTGTTAACTGTTTGCTAGTGAAATGCTCAGTTTTTTCACTTACTTACTTTACGTCCTGCAAATAGCGAATGTGCTTATGGCGAGACGCAGCTGGCTCTTAAAGGGAATAGGAGATGAGACTCTAATTGGTTTATTCTCAAAACACATCCATAACTCATTAAGAAAATAAACTCAACCCTTTTAGACCATGCGCCACGGCGCAAAGCGGATTTTCCCATCCGTAAATTAGCAAAAATGCGTTCTAACACGCCCTGAAAGCGTTTGCGCCCTGCGTTTTGCACTCTGCGCATGGACCGTCAATATAGAGCCCTCAATCTCCCCAGTCAACCCATCTGTTGTTGATCACCTATTCTAAGGTGGCATATGAAAGCTTAAAGGAAACTGACTTTTTGCCACAGGCAGTGACTTTCAAGTCAGTGTTTGTTCACATGGACACCTCAAAAAACTAAATTCAGCAAAAGGATTTAGGCAGTGTTAAGACTTTATACTTGAAGAGAAGAAGGAGGCAGGATTGCTCTGTGTTTGCAGGTCAAAAATATGAAAGTGCACTAGTGGAAACAGCACATAATCATGAACGACAAAGTTTAGAGAGAATTTGGAGGGAGGCAAAATGGGAATATTTGCTTACTACAATACTAACCTCTTGCTAGAATTGATATCAAAAGTTGGTCAGAAATATAGTTTTACCATGTAAAATTAAAATGACACCCAAGTGGAGCTTCCAGACACCATCTTTATTTTTTATCTCAACTGTCAGAAATGGAACACAGGTTTGTGGGATGTCAAAGGGAGTGAAGGCTACATCAATTGTTATATTAAAAAATAGATCAGAAAAAGGTATCTCAGGAGACAGAAAAAGAAGCTAGATTAGGATTTAGACATGTTTATACAATTATACCTTGGAAGTCATCCTTTGTAGGCTTCATTTTCCAACCTTGCTGTTTCTCCAGCTTACAACATTTGTTTAATGTGATCACATGGCTTCTGTCATGTTTGTCATGTGGATTGTTTAGTAAAGTTTAATGTGTAAAACAGACTTGCAACAGTTTATAATTTCTTACAGCTGCAGAAAAGTTCCTTGAGGACAGCAGAATGCATGAAAAAATCAAGAAGAACAATCTGAAGACTCGTCCACTGGAGAGAAGCACATGTGTGCGGGTGGAGGATCTTCCGGCTGATGCTAACAAGATGCTGCTGGAACTGTTGTTTGAGAATCGATGTGGTCCAGTACAATGTATTGATATAATTCCATCAGAACATGCAGCCATTATTACATTTAAGAAAGAAGAAGGTAAGTACATGCACAATTGCTTGTAGTATTTCTTTGTTTAGTTCTATTTCCTTAATTTTGACAGCATCAGTGCATTTCATTGTACCGCAACTTTCATATTTTTTCAGCCAAAGAAAAAGTTTTGAAGCAGCAGATTTTCATCAGTAATATTCCAGTCAAGATATATCCCTACTTTAAATCACTGGATATGGTCTTCTATGGTGACAACAAGCCACATTTAAAGCTGCCTGAACCCATTACAGTCAGTGTACATCCTGCCATCAGAGAGTTCCTCCTCAAGAAAGGGCAGATTTCTTCTATTGAAGATGAAATGAGTTCACACTTTTGCCAGATTAACATGGATAAACCTGATGTTTTGCTCAGTCCTGATCCAGCATTGCTGAAACAGAAAGGAGTCAGCAGAAGACACATTGATGGCTGGAGTAAGAATGCTTTAGATGCCTTCAAGAAAATCATCTCAGACTACACAACATCTGAGTGGCCGGTGTCACACGCCTTGTGGTCTAAAGTGGAGAATGATATTAAAACAGTTGTGAAAGATCAGGTTTACACAGATATGGATGCATTTAAAGGGGTCCTGACTCTAGCAGGTATGAGCCATGAGATAATTGGACTAAAACTCATAATGGAGAAAATTTTGGAGAAAGCAACAAATCAACTGGAGAGAGAGAAGAACAGTGTGACAGAAAACATGGAGATGTCTCCTGCCATGTACTTTCTGCTTAAACAAGATGGCCTGAAAACTGCTGCTTCTCCACAATTGCGCATTGACTACTACAAAAATATGAACAGACTTACTGTATCTGGTCTTCAAAAAGAAAGCCTTGTCTTTAAAAACTGGGTCCTTCAAAAACAAATAAATATAAAACAGAAGTCTTTAAAGATTGATCGTTCAGTCCTGGATTTCCTGAAATCAGTTGATTGTGATGAAATGTCCACAGATCTGTTTTTATCTCATAGAATATCTGCTGTCTATACAATTGAAAATGGAGATGTTTTTGTGATTGGGAGCACAGAACAAGCATGTACTGAAGCAGAGAAGAGGCTGAATACAGTACTTACATCCAAAGCCCTCCTTGTAGAAGATCAGAGTGTTCTTCAAATGCCAGAGTGGCAGGATCTCAAAAAACAACTACTAGAATTGTTCAACACCTCCAAAAAGAGAACTGTGTCTATAAACATTTCACAAAGAGACAAAGTGATGGTGACTGGATTCAGAGAACCAGTGATGGAGGTCAGTGGGAGATTGGAAAAGTTAATTGAGAAACACACTCGAATTGAAGAAACTGTTCGTGTTAAATCACATGCAACTGCTAAATTCATAGAAGACAGAAAATCCCAAGATTGGCAACATTTATTAAAGTCTGGTGAGATTAAAGTGAGTTTTGATCCAAAAAGACCCCGGATCAAACTGTCTGGACAGCGCACGTTTGTTCAGCCAGCTGTGACTTTCTTCAAAAGGTTGGCAGAATCTCTCCACACAGATACACTGACCATTAAAAAGGCAGGAGCAAAGAAGTACTTCAAGGAGCAGGGCAAAATGATGCTCTTAGTGTTGCTGAAGGACAAAAGATTTGTGGTGGTGCTTCAAGAAGATCATATGCTGGAAGAGGATGATGATGAGAATGATTTTACTGAAGGTAGTTCTGAAGACTTTGGCCAGGCCTCTTGTGAGGTTCGAATGCCCGGTGGAGTAACAGTTACTGTCAGGAAGGCAGACATTTGCACTCTCAGTGTTGATGCTGTGGTCAATGCTGCTAATGAAGATTTGCAACATGGCGGAGGTGTAGCTTACGCACTTCTCCAAGCTGCAGGACGATGTCTGCAGGAATACTGTGACCTACACATAAAGGTAAATGGACCTCTGACTCCTGGAGATGCCATCATTACTGATGCTGGTCGTCTTCCATGTAAATATGTTGTGCATGCTGTTGGACCTCGATTCAGAGCTTCAGACAGACATACAGCTGTGCAACAATGCCTGAGACGTGCTGTGAGGGAGAGTTTGAACCAGGCATCAAGCAAAAAATGCTCCTCTATTGCAATTCCAGTGATCAGCTCAGGGATATTTGGTTGTCCTCTTGATCTTTGCACTGAATCAATCACCAAAGAGGTGCGTCAATACATTGAAAATCATAACTACAGTGGCTCCAGTTCCACACTGACTGAGATTCAATTGGTGGACAACAATGACAAGAATGTGAATGCCATGGCTCAAGCTGTCAGAAATGAGTTTGCAGCTTATAACCCCAAAATGACTTTCCCTCATCAAAGCAAACCTCATAAGCATAACTATGAGCATGGACATCGTGGAGGTGGTCGTGGTCGTGGTCATGGTCGTGAAAATAGAAAATTTGAAGAACGATCATGGTCGACTGACAGACCAGATAAATCTCAGGGGTTGAGGGTTCTTGAGACCAAAACTACACAAGACGGTCTAAAAATTTGTCTGTGTGAAGGAAACATCCAGGATGCCAGTGTAAGTAAATTAAGGGGTTGCAGGTCATTAGGGTAATGGGATCAAGCTGTGTTGTTTTTGAAGTAAATTATAACTTTGCTTTTATTTATATTATTTTATTATATTATTTATTATTTTTTTGTATTAAATGTAATATTTTAAAAAAATTTAAGCAATTTAAACAGTTTGATACATTTGCTAAAATATATTTTTTATTTGCTAACACTTGACTAATATTACATAAATGTTCTGTGCCAGTAAACAAGTCAAAAGTAAAATACTTCATATTATTTCTATGTTAGGTCAGTAGTGACCAGTTCCTCTAGAAAACTTGTATTCTTGTATCACTTGCAGGCTGATGTCATCGTCAATACTATATCAGAGGATATGGATCTTAGAAAAGGTGCCGTCTCCAATGCACTTCTTCAGGCTGCCGGTCATCAGCTCCAGTCTGAAATCAAAAGAGCTTCTAAATCATATAAGCTCAATACTGGTGAAATAGTCATCACAGATGGTTATAACCTGAAATGTTCCAGAGTTTTCCATGTAGTTTGTCCATTTTGGAGACACGGCTCAGAGGAATGGGTGAGAACAAGTGCTTTGTAATTCAGATCTTACAAATTTTTCATTGACTCACTTACTAACAGCTTACTAAATTAAAGATTAAGTGGAGCGCCTCATATTTACACTCTATTTATGTAGTTAAATGTTATTTTATTTAAAGATGATAATATATTTGTTTACATTACAAAAGGTCCTCAATCAGATCATTAGGAATTGCCTAAAAAATGCAGAAACCCAGGGGCTGTCTTCAGTAGTTTTCCCAGCTATCGGCACTGGAAATCTCGGCTTTCCTAAAGATCTGGTGGCCAAAAACATGCTTACAGAAGTCCAGCAGTTTAACACTACAAACCTTCGAAAGGTCACTGTGGTTGTTCATCCTTCTGACAAGGAAAGTGTTCAGGTGAGTGAAGGAAAAATAGAACCATAAAAACATTTTAAGTACTTTTGTTTAGTTACTCATGTTGATGCAGTCTTGTGTTTTATTTTTAGAGTTTTACCAGCTTCTTCAGACATGGAATTCAGAGTGCCATCTCAAAAGAAGCTCATCAACATTTCATGCCTAAAAAAAATGCTCAGACATCTGGTAACATTTTCTTATCATCTTATCCATAATACGTTTTGAGTACATTTTGTTAAAAATGTATAAAAATATATTCAAATGTCTTAGGAAATATTTAGGGCAGTGGCAGAATAAGTTTGTAAAGATTTTCAGTACGTTATCTGTGTTTTTCTTTAGGTTTCCATGGCAAAGTCTCCTCTCCTTCTCTCGGGGTTCACACTATGCAGCTGGGTCAGGTGACTCTGGAGGTTTCATCAGGAGACATAACCAAAGAAAAAACTGATGCTATTGTCAACTCATCAAATCCGACATTTTCTCTAAAAGCAGGTTAACCAACTTCACTCATACTATTACTCAATTGAATGCATCTTTATTTATTATTTATTATTTACAGAGAATTATAATAGCCCTTTTCACACAACTTTACCGGTAAATTCAAAAAATCGCTGTTCACACCGGCAAGAACGTTCCAGAATTTTTCTGGAAAAGAATATTCCCCCATCCATTGGATAATACCAGTTAATTCTGACATCATCAACCAGAAATGAGCTCTAAATGGCTGCGCTTGTATTTGTAAACATAGAATGGGTCGGGCTTTTGTTTAAAGCTTTAGCATTCATGCAGCTGCTTTGTCCTAGAGACCTCCAGAGGCAGAAGGGCAAACCACAGCTAAATGTTAACACATTTGACAACATTAAAAGCTCTGTGGATGGATAAGTATTGTGAACAACTTCGATGAAAACATATGGAGGAACACTTTTGCATGTCGAGATAATATATGCATAGTACATAATATGTGTGTGTGTGTGCTGGTGCTCACCGGAGCACTTCTTCACGTGCACTTACATCAAGCAACTGAAGCAGAGCTTAAAGGTAAACAAATAGTGGTTTATCATAAGCGTTTTATCAATGATTTTTTACAGTTGGCATTAAAAAGGAACATATAAACGTTATTTGACAGCTAGCAACTAAATGTGTCTGGAAAAATATTCAAAGGCTTTTTTTTTTTCAAAAAGAGTGCGAGTGTGAATGTGTTTTAATGTTCTAATCGGCTGAAGTAGACGTCTCTCTTTAGGAGCAGCATTCCAGCAAATTACCAGAAATGTTACTTCTCTTTCCAGAAAATTGACACAACAAATTTACCAGTATTTTCAGAAAGGGCCTGTTCACACATCATTCCTTTCTGGAAAATTTCCAGTAAGTTTCCGGAAAGGTCTGTTTGTGTGAAAGGGGCTAATGTAACTGTCAATTTCTCTTTGTAATCCAGGAGTGTCCAAGGCCATTTTAGATGCTGCTGGAGGACAAGTGGAACAGGAATGTTCACAAATTGGTTTGTAATCCAATATTCCAATATTTGAAATCCATATTTAAAAGTATTTATATTTTGCATTTGTCTTGTTGAATAAAATCTAATGAATTTTAAATACTACTAGTAAACCCTTTTTTCTCAACAGTGGCATCATCAAACAAGCAGCTTAGTAAGATTGTGACCTCATCTGGACGACTCCCATGTGGAAACATCATCCATATTTCTGGATTTGATAGTCTATCTACAGTTAAGGAAGTGGTTTTATCTGTTCTAAAGTTGTGTGAATCACGCCAGTTTACCTCCATTGCCTTCCCTGCTCTTGGCACAGGTAACACATTGTCCTATTTATTTATACCGCACAGTTGAAGCAAGTGCTGATTATTTACTTAACCAACAAGTTGTCTGAATGTTATTAACTTGTTAGGTCAGGGTGGTTCAAAGCCTGGTGATGTTGCAGATGTAATGGTTGATGCAGTTGTTGACTTTGTGAAGAAGAAACCAGTGCATGTGAAGCTTGTGAAGTTCCTTATATTCCAGCCAAACATGGTAACAGACTTCCATCAGAGCATGGTCAGACGATCTGGTGAGAAAATAGAAGAGGAAAAAGGGGTGTTTACCAAAATAAAAGGTCAGAAAAAAACAAAAATGTATGAAAATCCAATATTTTCTCTTTTTTTGTAAATATAGTAATTGATCTCTTTTTTTCTATCAAACATGGGCTTTGAAAAAAGACTTTTTTTGGGGAGATAGTTCAGAATCTCCTACAAGCGAAGAGTTTGTGATGGTGGGTGAAGATGAAGAAATCGAGCCGGCTGTGTTTCAGCTGTGTGGAGAAACACCACAGGACCTAAGTGAAGCCAAGGAAATGATCAACAATTTAATCATTCAGGAGCATTTGACCATCCCAATCCATGATCCAGCCATTGCTCATTTCACCAGGGAGGATGTAGAATTGCTGAACGCCATGCAGAAGGAGCTCACAGTCAGTGTCAAACTAGAGAAGAAAGGCCAAGACTCTGTCGTTACATTGGAGGGTCTGACAAGAGACGTTCACAATGCACAGAGTCGCATTCGGGACATGATCCGCAAGGTGGAAAGAAATGAAAACAGAAGACGCGAGGCATTTATAATCAACAGTGTGGTTAAATGGCAATATCAGGAGCATAGACAAAGCCTCAAAAACTTTGATATGTTGACCAATTATGACCTGGAAAAGGCCTTTCAGAACCGGCAGCCTTCAGTGAAAATCAAGATTAATGATGATGAGTATGAGGCTGATTTAGTTCGCAAAAAAGCCAGAAGAGGGAGAATGCAGATTGAATTGAACAGAATAGATCTGGAAGGTGGGATTACATTATAGCTTACATATTAATTATAAAGTCATCCTGTATAAATATCTGTTATTCACGTTTTGTTTTTTCTTTCAATGAAGCTGAGACTGTAGCTCAAAGCTCTTTTCCTCCACACTGGGACAATATGAAAGGAAAGTCTTTAGTTCTTGTAAAACTGACATCAAGCTCAAATGAATATGCCGACGTGGAGAAAGAGTTTAGGAGAACTGGTCTAACATTTACCATCATTAATGTAAGATTTAGAAACAAGAGAAATCTACTATTCATTTTATTTTAAGATTCTGCATGAACATTTCAGTGCTTTGGGGAAATTATTTTTTTTATTTTTGACTTTAGATCGAAAGAGTCCAGAACAGCTCACTGTGGAAAAACTACATGGTCAAAAAGGAGGAACTGGAAAACAAAAACCAGCACAAAAACAATGAAAGGCGCCTCTTTCATGGCACGGGCCCTGATTCGACAGATCAGATCAACCATAATGGCTTCAATCGCAGCTTCGCAGGGACACATGGTATCAGTTAAACTCAGCATCAACTTTTATTTTCTCGTTTGCATTAATGTAAACCATCTTTTTCTGTTTTTAGGAGCCATGTATGGGAATGGTACATATTTTGCTGTGGACCCAAATTACTCAGCACAAGGCTACTCAAAACCTGATACCAAAGGACATAAACGCATGTACCTGGCCAGGGTGCTTGTTGGTGACTTCACTCAGGGGAGTTCAGGTCTTCTTGCTCCCCCTGCAAAGAGCTCCAGTAATGCTGATCTCTATAACAGTGTGACTGACAAAATGAACAACCCAACCATGTTTGTGATCTTCAATGATGTACAGGCTTACCCAGAGTACCTGATCACCTTTAAGTAATGCTATGGTGAAACTTATCATCTGTGAATTTACTGTATGTAATATTTAGTTTTAGGATTTGATTAATGCAATATAATCTGTAACAGCATCCTCAAAGAAAAAAAAATCCAAGAACATCTTCACAATTTCAGCTTTTCTTAATCTCTGACTACCCTAATCAAGAGGTGTTTGATGTCACATATTGTAGTTGTGCGTAACAAACAAAATAATTTGAGCTGAAAACATAAATGGGGCAATTTATGTTTAGGGGAGATTTATTTTTATGGGAATTAAATGAGCACAATGATTGAAACTAAAAATATCATTAAATACTAAAAAATGTAATTTGTTCGATGCAGACAATGATGAACTTAATATTTTATATGATAAATATTAAAGTGATACAATAAATTAAGATTATAACAAATGTTTGTGATACATGACTGGTTCCTCTTTCATCAGTAGATAGGCCAACATTTTAGCAGTTGATAAAGATTTTAAATTTTTTTTAAATTCACCAACAGTACACCTGTTTCTAGCAGATGCAGAGATTACTTTTATTAGCAGACTAGTTATTTCTGTGGTGCACACATATTCACTGATAAAAGTGAAACTATTGTGTCTTTCTTTTAAAGTACATTTTTATATTGGGTTAAGTGAAAAATTTGGGTTTCTGATTATAACCTGTTTCATTCCATTTGCCTAAAGCAAAAAATACCCCCCTTAAGTTAAAAGCATTTATTTTCAAAGTAATATTGTTACTTTAAACTAGCAGTTTTCATGTCAAAAAAGGTACTATTTGGTTTGATATTCAGTTTTAATGTATTTCTTATGTGAATTAGATGACCACATTGGGTGACATTTACATGTGTAGCCATACTGAAAACACAAGCAGATAGTTTACCTCATTAATGAAAATAAAATGACTGGTAATAGGATAACTTGACAACATTATATGGATTTATTATAATTTAGTCCATAGTACAACTTTACTTGATATTAAATTTTAAGTCGAACCAAAATAATAAATTAATTAATCATGGCCTATAAAAATTATATTTTACCTCAGAGTCAATGTATTTTTTTTTCTTTAGGCGAAGTAATAATTTTGATAAATAGTCAAATAATTTCAAAACTCAAATAGTTCAAAACTATAATAAGGGTAATTCATAAATTTAGCTATAACAAGTGACAGTATTTTAATATTGTTGGTCCAAAGCAATATTATGCTTTGATTGAGGTTAGAATATATACTTAATATTTCTTCATTCATTCATTTTCCTTAGGCTTAGATTTGATTCAGTGGTCGCCCACAGTGGAATAAACAGCCAACTATTCCAGCATATGTTTTACACAGCAGATGCCCTTCCAGCTGAAACCCAGTACTGGGAAACACCCATACTCTCTTATTCACACACACACTCATACACTACAGCCAATTAAGTTTATTTAATTCACTTATTGCGCATGTCTTTGGACAGTGGTGGAAACTGGGTACCTGGAGGAAACCAACGCAAACACGTGGAGAACATGCAAACTTCACACAGAAATGTCAACCGGCCCCCACCCGGGACCTGAACCAGCAACCTTTTTGCTGTGAGGTGACAATGCTAACCACAGAGCCAATGTGCCACCCTAGTGTCTTTATATTAATATTCTTTCTAGACCACAATTGTCACAGATCGCTGGAGAACATTCACTATCACCCGAACTACACATCTGCAACTGAACTGGACTACATATCCTATCATGCACCTCTCAGCAGTTCCAGATCACCCCTGATTACTCACACACAGCTGTTGTTCATGAAGACTGATATTCTGCATTGTTTATATGCCACATTTTCACACATTCATTGCTGAGTCTTGTATCCTGGCATTTCAAAGTGTTATCCTTGTCTTGTCATACAGCGTTTTTGACTTTGTTTATGTTGTTTTGCCACCTGTCCCGACCATTCACCTGTGACTTCAACTACTCTTTGGATTACCTACATGTTTGACCCTATTTGAACTTTGCCTGGCTGACCATTCACTAAATAAAGCTGTGTTTGGATCCTCACCTCTGTTGCCAGACCCCTAAATGTTTCTGGGATGCAAAAGACAGCAAGACACCTTTTTCTTACCTTCTGGTTTTTAGCTTTATTCAAAATGTCTTATTTAGGGTTCAACAAAATTAAGAAACACCAAAATTTGGAACCATGTGAGGGTGAGTAAATTTTACATTTTTGGGAGAACAATCCATTTTCAGTCTATTATTACTGACAGCCACTAATTTTCCATAGCTAGCCTACTGTATATTTAGCCTGCATGTTTTTATAGCTTCAATTAATATTATATTTTGTATTATAAATGACTGCAAAAAATGAGACCATTATGTTAGCAGTTAACTAGCTAATGGCACATTTTTTCAAGTGAATCCAAACCTGTTAAAAAGTTTTTTTTTTTTTTTTTTTTTTAATGTTAAAAACTGATGACCACTGACATTCATAGGAAAACAAATACAATAAAGTCAATGGTTTCCTTTTTCCAACTTTTCAAAAAATATTTCCATAGGCAGGGTGTTCAACAGTAGAAAGAAAATCAAAATGGTTTGACAAGGGAGGGGTGAGTAAAAGGCAGAATTTTCAGTTTTTAAATCATTATTTATGAATTAGAAAAAATAAGGTGCACAAGATTACTATGAAATAATTATGGGACCTAGTGCAGAGTGTGAAATTTGATGGAATTCTGGAATTGTCGGCAAGTTCATTATGTAGATATCAGTTTTTTTTTTTTTTTACAGTTAATGAATTAAATAAAAATGCTTCAATAAATTTGGGCTTTGAAGAAAATTAAAGTGAATGATTAGGCTACAGGTTTCTTTGTATCCTTTGTGTTAAACAAAAGAAACCAGTTGAAAATAATACAGCATCTTTAGTCTTGCATGAACTGCCTTTAACTGACATGATGACATAGTTTATTTGAACTATATTATCATTAAAACCAAAAACTCAAAATTTGTCTAGATGGGTGTCAGGAACCAAATTTAAATAGGCTAAATAAATTGTTAAAAAAAAACAAAAAAAAAAAAAAACATTTTTGGAGTTAAAGGGTGAGGGACGTATGTCTTTTGGAAATAATTATGAAAATGTCTGATAATTAAGTTAAAATTATAGTTTTATTAAGGTATGACAATTAATACTTATATTACTTACAGTTTTACTTATATTACAAGTTTACAAGTACAAATCGTACACAGCGGTTAACTCTGTTTCATATAATAAATAAGAAACAAAAATCAAAGTGACCCCCAAACAATAAACGCTAACCAAGAACCAAATCTGTGTTCTTTGTTTTTAGGCCAACATTACCTTTAGTGGGAAAAAAAGCTGTTGGAAGTGTGGTCAAAACTCGCCTGTGTAGTCTTTGCAGTGTGCATTCAATGTGCGCACTGTTTGCCGCAATGAGGGCGCTCCTGCTGGGCTCATCCTATATGTACATCAAAAATGATGAATAGGACACTCCCGGAAATTAACGGCAAGTTAAGTGCACGATACCGAAAGTACACATGACTGCTATTGAGAATGAGATTATGACATTGACTCACAGCGTCCTCTCTGACCAGAAAGATCGCTATGGACGAATATTATCCAATTATTGTAGAGGGAGACTGGGGATCCGAACACGACAAGAGTGTGAAAAATAAACTCCAGATTCACTTTCAGAGTAAGAAGAAATCTCAGGGAGGAGACTGCGTCGTGAAATACAATGAAGAGACCAACACTGCCACGATTCTGTTCAAATCATCTGACAGTAAGTGCTTATACAAATGCATATTGAGAGCATATACTCTATGACTGTGACTTGATATATGATATTTGACTTTAGGGGATGATTGCTGTGGATTAGGACAATAGGATAAAATTCTAAAAAGATATTCTAGAAAAATTATTTGACAAAAAAATACATTAAACCATTTATCTGTTTATTTCAGTTTCTATGCCTAATCTATTTTTAATGCCATTTTCATTAAAGATACGTAAAGAAATAATGTTTAGACGGGGCAAGTTTTAAAACGGATATTTCAAAACATGTATTTGGCAATTAGGACGTGGAAGAATTGTGAGGTTTTTAATAGGCATGCATCACATCAGCATTAATGAGTGGTAAAATGACAGAGTAATACTTTACTGTTTTAGTTCTATGCTCTTTCGTGTTGTGAGGTTTCTAAGATTGATTGTTTTTTCCAAGTCCAAGATGCGGTGCTCTTTCAGGCAGACCACATTATTAGGTTTAACACTCGCCAAATTAAGCTGAAAGTCTACAAACCCAGAGATGGAGAGGAACAGGCAGACAGCAATGGACAAAGAGTGAGTAGACTTTTTTTACTAAAAGCAGAAATGGGACTACAGGTTTATTGCAATTACTGTCTATCACAATCCTTGTATATATCAAAATAGTCTAACTAGTTGTTTAATTTATTTCCATTTGCTGAATTTTAAATGCTTCAAATTTGATTTCAGAAGGACCAGGAATCTGGAGATCCGGAAGCAAGTAAGTAAATCTGGACTTTAGTTTAGGAGTGCTTTGGTGAGCATAAATCTTTTATTGCTCAGATTTTCTGTTATTGCAGATAATCATTAACACATTTGTTTTCACTATTTTGTTTAAAATAATACATCTATTTGTGTGACGCTCAAGGTGCTTCTCTGACTAAGAGTGATGTGAAGAAGCCTCGAGAGTCAAGTTCTGTGGTTCTGGAGAACCTTCCTGATGATTTTAATGAAGATGTGTTGACTCTATTTGTGGAGAACATCACCACTCTTACTGAAAATGACTTTACCATTGAATTTATACCAGAATTGAGCAAAGCAGTTGTGACCTTTAAAAATACCAGTGGTATGTTTAAATATAAAATATATGTTTCCATGTAATTATCATCATAATATAATCATAATACAATTTTTTTATTATATATATATATATATATATATATATATATATATATATATATATATATATATATACACACACACACACACACACATACATACAGTTGCAGTCAGATTGATTCGCCCCCTGTTTATTTTTTTGCCTAATTTTTGTTTTACAGAGAAAACTTTTTTTTTCAACACAATTCCAAACATGATAGTTTTATTAACTCATTTCTAATTGATCTAACTGCATATATATATATGCACCTAATTTAGTGGATTAATGATTGGGTATTGCAGAACATAATGGTCTTTTTTAATGGTGACAGAGTTAATGGATCAAAAATTAGATAAAAACAAATGTTTACAATATATTTTTGATGTAAATATTGCATTAAAAGTGCATGGCATGTTCTTTAAAATATAATTCCAACAGCTGCAGGAAGCTTCCTGCATGACAGCAGGACAAATGAGAAGTTCAAGAAAATAAATCTAAAGGCCCGTGCACTGGAGAGAAGCACATGTGTGCGGGTGGAGAATCTTCCAGCAGAGATCAACAACAAAAATATACTACTGGAACTATATTTTGAGAAACTGGGTGGTCCAGTACAGGACGTTTTCACAATTCCATCAGAACAAGCAGCCATAATTACATTTAAGGAGGAAGAAGGTAAATGTATGCAATGGCTAGTGGTTTCAATGTTAGAAACACTGATTTAGCTAATATTGTCAATATCAGTGCACCGATTCACTGTGCTTAGAATTTTTATTTTTATTTACAGCCAAAGAGAAGGTTTTGAAGCAAGATACTAATATTTGTGATGTCCAACTGAAGATATATCCCTACTTTAAATCACTGGATACAGTCTTGTATGGTGGCAACAAGCCACATTTAAAGCTGCCTGAACCCATTACAGTCAGTGTACATCCTGCCATCAGAGAGTTCCTCCTCAAGAAAGGGCAGATTTCCTCTGTTGAAGATGAAATGAGTTCACACTTCTGCCTGATAAACATGGACAAACCTGATGTTTTGCTCAGTCCTGATCCAGCATTACTGAAACTGAAAGGAGTCGGCCAAAGAAAATGTGATGGCTGGAGTAAGAATGCTTTAGATGCCTTCAAGAAAATTATCTCAGACTACACAACATCTGAGTGGCCGGTGTCACACTCCTTGTGGTCTAAAGTGGAGACTGATGTTAAAACAGTGGTGAAAGATCAGGTTTACACAGATATGGATGTCTCAAATGGGGTCCTGACTCTGGCAGGAATGAGCCATGAGATAATTGGTCTGAAACCCATCATGGAGAAAATCTTGGAGAGAGCAACAAATCAAATGGAGAAAGAGAAGAACAGTGTGACCGAGAACATAGAAATGTCTCCTGCCATGTACTTTCTGCTTGAACAAGATGGCCTGAAAAGCGCTGCTTCACACTTGAACACTGACTACAAAAGAAATCTGAACAAATTAGTATTGTTGGGTTTTAAAATAGATGTTGTTTTATTTAGGAATTGGGTCCTTGAAAAGAAAATAAACATGAAACAGATGCCTATAAAGATAGACAGTTCTATACAGGAATTCCTGAAATCAGTGGACCATGAAGAAATGTCCACAGATCTCCTTATATCTCATGGAATAGCTGCTGTCTACACTATTGAAAATGGAGATGTTGTTGTGATTGGGAGCACAGAACAAGCACATGCTGAAGCAGAGAAGAAGCTGAACACAGTACTTACATCCAAAGTCCTCCTAGTAGAAGATCAGAGTGTTCTTCAAATGCCAGAGTGGCTGGATTTAAGAAAAAACCTACTAGAATTGTTCAATACATCCAAAAAGAAAACTGTGCTAGTATTTCTTTCCTCTCAAAGAGACAAAATAAAAGTAACTGGATTTAGAGAACCAGTGATGGAGGTCAGTGAGAGCTTAGAACATTTCATTAAGAAACAGACTAGAATTGAAGAAACTGTTTGTGTCAAATCGCATGCAGCAGTTAAATTCATTAAAGACAGAAAATCACAAGACTGGCAACATTTAATGAAGTCTGAAGTGATGAAAGTGAGTTTTGACTTAATGAGAGCCTGGATCAAGTTGTCTGGTGTTCGTACATTTGTTCAGCAAGCTGTGACTTTCTTTAGAAGTTTGGCAGATTCTCTTCATACAGGTACACTGACCATTAAAAAGGCAGGAGCAAAAAAGTACTTCAAGGAGCAGGGAAAAATTATGCTCTCAATGTTGCTGAAGGACAAAAGAGTTGTGGTGGTGCTCCAAGAAGATCATATGCTGGAAGAGGATGAGGATGGACCAAAAAAAGGTCATTTTGGAGATTTTGGCCAGGCCTCTTGTGAGGTTCGAATGCCTGGTGGAGTAACAATAACTGTCAGGAAGGCAGACATTTGCACTCTCAGTGTTGATGCTGTGGTCAATGCTGCTAATGAAGATCTGCAGCATACAGGTGGTGTAGCTTACGCACTTCTCCAAGCTGCAGGACGATGTCTGCAGGAATACTGTGACCTACACATAAAGGTAAATGGACCTCTGACTCCTGGAGATGCCATCATTACTGACGCTGGTCGTCTTCCATGTAAATATGTGGTGCACGCTGTTGGACCCCGATTCAGTGTTTTAGACCAACGTACAGCTGTGCAACAATGCCTGAGACGTGCTGTGAGGGAGAGTTTGAACAAGGCATCAAGCAAAAAATGCTCCTCCATTGCAATTCCAGTGATCGGCTCAGGGATATTTGGTTGTCCTCTTGATCTATGCACTGAATCAATCGCCAAAGAGGTGCGTCAATACATTGAAAATCATAACTACAGTGGCTCCAGTTCAGCACTGACTAAGATTCAATTGGTGGACAACAATGACAAAAACATGAATGCCATGGCTCAAGCTGTCAGAAATGAGTTTGCAGCTTATAACCCCAAAATGGCTTTCCCTCATCAAAGCAAACCTTGTGAGTATAGTAACTATGAGCATGGACACCGTGGAGGTGGTCGTGGTCAGGGTCATGAAAACTATCACCAAAGAAACCATCGTGGTCGTAGCAATAGAGAATTTGGAGAACAAGCACACTCACAGTCTGGTGACAGAACAGATAAATCTAAGGGGCTGATTATTCTTGAGACCAAAACTACACAAGATGGACTAAAAATTAGTCTGTGTGAAGGGAGCATCCAGGATGCAAGCGTAAGTTTATCAAGGGGTTGGGGTGGGACAGGGAATTGGATCAAGCTGTGTTGTTTTTAAGAAAAAAGTTACTTTGCTCAAGATTTTTATTTATATTATTTCATTCTATTATTTATTATCTTTATTATCTTGTATTGTATGTAATATATCAAATCACACATAAAAAGTGAACTATTTCATATTGCGTTTATGGTAACCAATGTTGACCAATTTCTTCAGATAAATATGTCTGTTTGTTTCTCCTGCAGGCTGATGTCATTGTCAACACTATATCAGAGGATATGGATTTGAGAAAAGGTGCCGTCTCCAATGCACTTCTTCAGGCTGCCGGTCATCAGCTCCAGTCTGAAGTGAACAGAGCTGCTAAGTCATTCAGGCTGAATACTGGTGAAATTGTTATCACAGATGGTTGTAACCTGAAATGTTCCAGAGTCTTTCATGTAGTTTGTCCACTTTGGAGACAAGGCTCAGAGGACAAGGTGAGAATAAGTGCTGTGTAAATCAGATACAAAATGTCATTGACTGTTACAGTTTACTGATTTTGAGATTAAGCATTGTGGCTCATATTTAGGCTCCATTGATGTATTTAGATGGTACTTTTTATTTAAAATTTTTAATATAAATATTTCTTTATATTTTAAAAGGTTCTCAGTCAGATCATTAGAAACTGCCTAAAAAATGCAGAAACCCAGACAATGAATTCAATAGTTTTCCCTGCTATCGGCATTGGAAACCTTGGCTTTCCTATAGATCTGGTGGCCAAAACCATGTTGACAGAAGTCCAGCAATTTAACACTACAAACCTTCAAAAGGTCACTGTGATTGTGCACCCTTCTGACAAGGAGAGTGTTCAGGTTAGTGAAGGAAAAATACAGAACCATAAAAATATTTTATTTTAAATAGTCTACCATGTTTCTCATGTTAATGTTGTCTTATTTTTTTTGTATTTTATATATTAGTGCTTTACCAGCATTTTCAGACATGGGAATCGGGGTCCCATCACAAAAGAACATCAACATTTCATGCCTAAAAAATCAGCTCAGACCTCTGGTAAGATTTGATGACCATGAGACATTATATATGAATAATTTAAATAAAGACATGAATAATTTTGTAAAATTATTTACAATAATATATCAACATGATAATAAATAATAGGTATTGGAAATTTTTTTAAAGATTTCAAATTTTTCTTCAGGAGCTCTTGGCAAAGTCTCCTCTCCTTCTCTTGGGGTTTACACTATGCAGCTGGGTCAGGTGACTCTGGAGGTCTCATCGGGAGACATAACCAAAGAAAAAACAGATGCCATTGTCAACTCCTCAAATCCGACATTTTCTCTAAAAGCAGGTTAACCAAACTTCACTCACACTATTACTCATTTGCAGAGTTGGGTGTAACGCGTTACTGTAACTTAATTACATTTTTGAGGAATGCAGTAATGTAACAAATTACATTTTACAATTGTGTATTTTGATTACAGTTACTAAAGTCAATGTAATTGTGTCACTTGCGTTACATAAATAAT